GGGGGGGGGGAACCCAAACCACCTGTGCTTTAATATTAGCTACAAAAGAAAGTTCAGCACTTACTTTCACACATTTCATGCATGTTAACTTATATTGCCTTAACACTAGAAACAGTTTACTTGATTGTGTTTGAGTGCAAATCTAATGGTGATAGACTACTGTCTTATCTTTTAGAAATGGCAGTGAAAGCCTTTGGAGTGTGATACCAAACAGCATTGTAGGCAGTATGAAAGTGGAAATGAATAGAGAAGTCCTTCCCTCTAACTTTGTATTTCTATACTTTAGAGTGGGTGGATGGAGGGAGTGTAACCCAATGCAATCTTAAACAACACTAAATATAGCTCTGTCTGTTAATACTGGTTAAGTAAAATACCTATTAGATTTACCAAAATCTTTCATTTTCTTCTTGGTGAGCAGAAGGGATGGCTAGATTATGGCTTGAGCACTACCCAAAGTTTCCATAGTATTCTAACATCCCGACTGCTCTGGAGCAACAACCCACTAGTTAGATCAGCTGGTAACTTGCAATAATGTGGTTTACTATGCCAGGCAGACATTTAACTTTCAGGAAAAAAATTACCATGTGCCAAAATTATTCTTGTCTGATCTCTGGCTAAAGATTGTGCATGTTCAAAATCCAATCAGTATCATAGAGACTGGAATAGATCTGGCTACAGTCTATGACCTCTATAGGAGCTATCAAGCAATTTGGAGGGACTGGGAGGAAAGGAAAATAAATTATTTAGTTTAGAGCTGCATCTAGTATTTTAGAATTCCTTCTGTAAGGAAAATCAATTCTCAAGAAGTAATGTTTTAATTCATCACAATGTGAAATTAATTTAGAGAAAGAAAAAAAAAAATACCTCAACTCACAGATGAAATAGGTTCATCCATGAACTTAGTTAAATCAGATATTCTTCCCAGATGGGAATTATCCTCTGTCCTCACAGCTACTGAAAACAGACTAGGCTTTTATTCTCCATTTTACCATATGATCATCTTCAAGAAACACTTTACCAAATAGCATTTTCCAACCTCAGAAATTATTTTAAAGTGTTTTTCAGCTCAAACGTTTACAATGATTTTGACATTGAGTAGGAGTTGTCTGAAGTAATACCTCAGAGAAGGAGTTTTCTGAGAAAAGGAGATATATCAACTCTGGAGCTGAAAGGAGGTTTCATCGCACCGTGTATCTCACATGACATTCACTAGGTTGAGACTAGAAACTAAAGAATTAGAGCCTTTCTGGAATTTGTTGCACATCTGTGATGAGACTTTCCTTTCAGCATGAGATAATCATTGCAATTACACCTGCAATTGCCAATTTTACTTCCAAGAAACAGTGGCCTTGAGATCTCCGATCAAGCATGTTGTAAACATTATCCAATGTCCTTTACTTCGCAACTTTCCTCTAACAGGCCTCCTTCTGCAGTTCCAAAAATCTAAGCCTCATGATGGACATGATTTGCAATATGTCATAATTACCAGGATAATTATCTCCAGCTCAGAATCAGAAACACTATTTTTTTAATCTCATTTTTATAACTGCCAGTACAGATTGAATTGTGTATGCACTTAGGGCAGTCAGTGTTTCACTATATAGCATGTGCATGCTTGGAGTTTGAAGGCAGCTCAATTACTCTGAATGGGGCCTGAGGGATTCTTAAATGAACTATAGTTTTCACTTTTGAGAAGCTGCTTCTCACATTTTTTCCCTGGACTTGAGTAACACATCAACATGCTTCCAACCTTGTCTGTGACATATCCTAAGGCAGCTGCTTTAAGCTAGATTCTTTTAAATCTACATGTATTTTGGCGATTTGCTTGACACTGTGTTTTCTTCCTGATGCAAGAATCCTGAGAAAGAAAGCTTCTACCCGCACAACCACAACAACTATTTTTCTATGCAGATTTAAGGGGTTTTTTGTACTTCTAAAGAATCACCTGCTAGAAATAAAGGTGCAATATTAATGGCTCACAGCATTAATTTCCCTCTCCCTTCCTTCCTACCTCACCTTTCCAAGTCACAAAGCAATTCTAATCTGTTCTCAGTAGAAAGGCGGCTGATCTAAACTGGTGATAAGCCACCCCAAAACCTTTAAAAACTACTAAACACACACATGCATAGATGTACCTAACAATTTTGTTTAGCTAGATCAGGCAAATTTTGTTTTAACAAAGAGATTATTTTATCCTTACTTGTTTTCAAATAAAGATGTGACAACAGTTTAGAAGACAGAGGATTACCAAGGGTGTAGTTAAGACTTTCCACCTAAAGCCTTACTTTTACATGTCTGAGTAGCAGATATCAGGTGTAAAAGTACTGTGCAAACAAGGACAGGCACTTACTTCTTCACTTGAACACAGGATGACATGGTACAGTGAATACTTATGTAGAAGTCACAGAAGTGAATACACTATTGAAATAGCTTCTGGTGCACTAGAATTTAAGTTACCTCTAGGACTCCTTACAACTGTATCTTCAGTAGATCAAGAATATGAAAATATAGATCCTGAAGTTTTGAAAAAATGCTCTAATAACCAACTTTACTTTCTATTGCCACTTCCGGTAACGTATTTCTTTATGGAATGACTTGTACAGGTATCTGGGTTTCTCAAGCCCTTTTTTTTCTTAAGTCTGCAACATTCCTATACGATTGTGCATCCTGAAGCAACTCTCTGATAGACTTGGGAAAAAACACAAAGTTAAGACAATGTATTGGGCTGGACTGTTCCCCAGAAAATACTCTTAGACTTTCCAAGAAAAGCAGAAATGGCCTTCTAGAGAGAAAACACTGCTCCTCCCTGTTTCTAAGGAGGTAGCAGCATGGATAAAGCAGCCAAAAGATTCTTCACTGCAAGAAAAGCAAAGGCAAAAACATTTTTACCTTAGTACAAGCAGTAGTAACTACCTTCTCTGCACTGCTAATTGCACAGCAATTACAATTGCTGATGCAGGAAACAACAGTGGTACAGTTGCTGATTTTACACAGCACTTTTTGTTAGAAATTCAGCTAATCCACAGATTAACACACAAGCCACAATAAAGGCCGAATCAAAATTCTTGGAGCTCTACCAAGGTTAGATTAAGTAACTGACAAAAACCCATGATCTTCAGTGGTAAAAGTAAAATCTTGACTGAGAAAGCCAGAGCAAATACAACTGTAGGAGGTTTCCTTGCTCGCAGTTCCACTTCCATCTTAGTCACATCCTTATATCAGACAAGAAGGACCTACACAGCTTTCTACCTTTGTAAGTTTTGTTTTCCTGCTTACACGCTTCCTAACATAAGCATCTCTGAAGTTAGATGAGCATTCACTCTTAATTCCAGGAAGCTTAGCAGAGACTGAGTTATCTTCCACAGAAGTATTAACTTTATTTCCTATGCTTTCTGAGATGAAGACTTCATTCAAGGTATTAAGGCTTTACGCTGCCCCTTCAGCAGCTGAATTTCTTTGTAAGGGAGAATGTATAACCAAAAGATTGCAAGTGCCACCTGCAAAGGATATAATACACTTTTTCCTCAGGAAAAACATGCAGCCTTTTTACAATCTCCTAAAGTTTTCTGCAAAAAGAGAAGTAATTCCATCCTTTGAGTGAAGAGGGTTAACCACTTCATGCTAATTCTGATCATATAGAATGAATAATCGAGAGCCGTCAGATAGAAGACTAGCAAGTGTCAGGCTGCCTTCCAAGGAAAAGGATATGGAGGAAAGAAGTACTCCTTGGCCACTTTTGCCAATGTATTATGGGACTTGGTTTACTTTCTGTGCAAACATGCATTGTTTCTGCCTGGTTACTAATGAGTGAGACATATTTCTGATGTCTAATATTTCTGCTATTTATTTCTATTCCTCAAAGAATAGATATGCCCAACTGGACTTCCACGCATCCTCTACAATCTCTGAAAATATTCTCTGTATCCAGTGAGGGAGAACAGCATTGAGAAATATAACTTCAGAAGAATTAAATTTGATTTACATGAGGAGACTTTCATTCAACTGCCTTGATAGGAACCTTGTATATTTATCAGATAAAGCCTGGTTTCACTACAATCTGTTTTTCCATCACTTCTGAAAAAGAGAAAGAATGAGGCATTGTCCTTAAAAGCCAAGCAAAAAATTCCCCTAGTATAGCTGTTCAGAAAAAACTCCATATCCAGGGAAAACAAAATATATTTAGCAGTTTCTTCTTTATCTAGTCAAAGAAAAAAAATCTTCTCTGGGGAAGAGATGGTCAATCTCTCATTTATACCATCTGGAGACAAGTCCTGGGAATTCTTTCTGATGGCTGACGCTAACTCAGAACAAAGATGAGGTCTTTCGGAGGCCTAATTGTAAAGACTGACATACACGAATGAGACTTTCATTTGCTTCTTTGTGCTATCATGTAACATGAAGGGATTACAAAATTCGGTATAGTCAGAAAGGACGAATCCCAGCGCAACATGTTAGATATTAAACTGAACAATAATGGAGGATAAGTAGCAATTTTAGATTTGGCTAAGCACAACTGCCTGTATCAGGAATTACAAGAAAATATAAACAGGAATAAAGTCTTTTACAATGTAGGTGTCCGTATCTGGTGGTGAAATCAAGAAACATGTAAAGTTATTTGAATCTCAAAGTTTGTAGCTTACTCTTTTCATACTTGAGAATTTCTGTATCTTAGTGATTGTCAAAGGCATGAAGCAAATTATTTAAGACAAGGTTTTCTTGATCTTAGCCTCATTTTGTCATTCTCTAGCATGACCATCTCCCCCCTTATAATCTGTAGATGATTATAAAATTAAATAATTTGAATGAGAGATGACTGGGCAATTGAAATATTCTAATTACGCACAGAGCCTATAACATACTTCTGCTTATATGTAATTATATATCTGTGACTCTGTATACATACAAATATGCACTTTACACACAAAAAACAGTGTACCGCCTGATGTGTGTTTCTTCTAGCCTGCAAGACAAAGATTACTGATCATAGCTGAAAAGGTTACCTGGATTTGGGCTCTGTTTCCAGCTGTTATATTAGATATTGTCCAGCATGCTTCCTTTTTGATAGATTCTTTTGGGCTGCTTAGCAAGTGCAGTAAACTCTGCAGTGCTGAACAATTCAGAATTACCTGAATACAAAAGGAAAAAAAAAACAACAACCAAACAAACCACACCTTAGAGGAAATTTAGGATAAAGAATCACAGGAACAAGGAATACAATGTCTTCAGAATCTAAAAAGCATATCCCATCAGATGATCCCAAAAAGTTTAAAAAAAAAATCAAACAGAACAAAAACCCAGCAAGAACTAAGAAATAAATGTTTGCAGGAAAGCTAATGAGCAAAACAACTGAGTAATTCAGGTACGAGATCATGCCTTCATTATGATTTCAGTGTGGCCTGAACACAAGAAGATACTAAGCCCATTACGACCAAACAAAAATAAGATGACAGTATTTTCCTGTTGTCTTGTTTTCTGTATTTTTGTATACTTTGAAGCTCCAACTACTTCTGCTTTCCGCATCAGCTGGCACAGTGGGGCAGACTGTTGCCAGTGTTGTGGCACCCAAAATCTCACCAGACAGAACGTGACAGGCCTTCGATGGCCCTACCATGGCACACCATTCAGCATAAAATTCAGCCTAAGAGGCAGACTTGCTTTAAACAAACCAGAAAAAAACCCAAACCTCAAAGGGTATTGCACAGCTATATACAAATCCCAGACATAGCTATGTAAGAATCACCAGCAGTTCAGGACTGAACAGGAAAACTATGAAAACTACCACATGTTTTGAGGCAACTAGCATCATCAATCCTTCACTTTCAAACTTCAAAAGGAACAAGAGGAGGTGTTTGTGAATAGGTTACCACAACTAACAGAAAGATGAACTGCAGTACAACACAAGAAAAAGTCAATTCATACCTGGGTCTGGATATCATCTCCTGTGACGATGTTCCCAACAGCTCGTAAGGCAGGAGATACAACTTTGTAGTCGTTGTGCCTAAAATTACCAAGGAAAGATCTAAGTGTTAACCACCCTGAAGCATCGCCATCTTTACATCCTCAAAGAAGGAACATCCATCAGCCAGGGGAAAACTTCCCTGCTAAGCCTGACTATCTCACTATCTGAATCAAAACATTCTGATTTTAAACTACTGGTAAGTCTTTCTAGGGTTTCTAAATATTTAGGCATTTAGATATCATTCAGCAGCATAAAAATAAAATATGAGATTAAAAGAATACAAATACTTCAGAGTATAGGCATCCTTGGGAGGGAAAAAGTAGTCAGCTTTAATTATGAAACACACTTAATGTAGCACCCACAAAGGCAAAGAATGAGACAGAAGAACACAGATAGAAGCTGTGTGTTTAACCCATACAGCTATTTGATCATCTTCTGTCATCTTATGCATCCCCCCATCATCACTGTTAAATGAGGATTGGAATAGGGGAGGTGAAGTAGGGATTTTTTTTCTCAAACGAAAACACTTCTTTATAAAAAGGTACCTTAGATAATACATTCTATTTGTTAATCCAGCATCAGATTTGCTTTACTCTTAAAAGCCTTAATAGTCTTTTTTATTTACATCACTGAAAACCATTATTTCTTGTTCTTAGGTAACTGAATGCTCCACGTCCTGAAGAAATGGCTCTGAACAAGGCCAGTTTCCCTGACCCCAACTCCCACAGCTACACTTTACTGCCCAAAGTGCGCATATACTCTTCTACAGTAAGGATTTAGGAAATTATTTACATTTCAAGTCCCTGGTACTGTCAGTTCTAGTAAATTTTACTATTTCTTACATTTCTACCTTTTATATCCTTCAGCAATTTCACTGGTAGGTAATTATAACATGGACTTCAATGGCACAGAGAAAATTCCAGTATATATCATGGATTTTATAAAAATGCAGCTGTTAGGTGCAGGAAAAAAATCTCTTAAGAAATAGCAAAACTAGTACAAGAGAAGTTCCATTGTTTCTGTTACTCATGACAAATAGAGAAGACTGAACAGAGGCAGGTAAAATTAAAACTCAAATCTTGCTTTTTGGAAATTACATTTCAAGACATATCTAATTAAACTTCCTATTGCTGGAACCTTGATTTTAGGAAAAAGAGTGGATAGTACATTTGCTCAGAACAAATTTCTTACATCAGCAATTCCACAAGTCTTCTGCAGACTCCTGCATCAATCACAGCCTGGATTTTATCATTGGGGCCATCAGACAAATAAGACAAAGCCCAGCAGGCATCAGCTAATACATCTGTATCATTGACAAAGAGCAGCCAGGAAAGCACACTAAGACAAGGTGAAACCTGTAAGACATTAAGAGGAGATACATACATTGTACAGTTAAAAGGGCCAGAAGATCTATTAACATGTCAGTTAATTTTGTATGTGACATTATAGGACTAGGCACTGGCATCTCAAGGTTCAATACTCAGAAAATTTCAGACCTAGGTAGCACTTCCGTGCAGGGCTGTAGCCACACAAGTACAGAGGAGCATGTCAGCAGAAAAGCACTATGAGAATTCTTCAGCCTCTACAGTACAATGTCTGGCAACTTAAACTCATACTTGTCCGCTAAGATGTGCCGTACTTTGCACTACAGCAGCCAAGATGTACAGAGTTTTGTTCCGCTGTGGGATGGTCATCTCCAGTACAGGAACAGTAAAAAAGAGCTAGGAGGCAGCTATATTAGAACAGGCGTTGTGAATGTCTGCCCAAAGGACTAAATACATTCAAAAACTTCATCTGTAAGAAGCCCATACATTGTTTCAGAGACATCCTGAAATACTTCTACTATTTAGCTTAAGTTTCACCACCCTTACTGCTCATTTGGCTACCACCACCTCACAACGCATTTGCTTTCAAACATCTCTTACCTTGGCAAAATCTGGAGGAGGATTTTTCCCTCTGCAGAGGTTGGATAGAGCCCATACAGCATTTCGGGTCATAGTGAGACGGTTCTGTTTTGAAAGCAATCTGAAACAAACCAACAAAAAATTTTAACCTTTGCTTTTGAAAAAATGAAAGCCAGGTAACCCTGTAGGGTCAACTGCATGAATCATTAAAATAAACTCAGGCCTACATTTTAACATACACCAGGGCAAAATATGCTAGATTTTTTCTCTATAAAAATACACCCGGAGAAAAATCATGCTTGATGGCTGGATACTAACACACATGCTAGACACATGAATCCTAGTATCCCGACAAGAACAATAACCATTACACTAGAAGTGTGTTCATTTAATTGCTTAGATACTGATGTGGCAGATTAACAGCCAAAAGGTGCAGGAACTGTGACAAAACTACTCTAAGTAGAAGGATGTGCAGGTAGTTTTGGAAAGTACTCTCTTCAGTGAGCTGCATTTTTACGTCAGCCTCAGACTATCAGCCCCACTTTTACACTTTTGTATGTTAACTAGTGAAGGAGAATAAAACTTATCCTCAGAAAACATGTATAATCAGCTTTTGGGTTTCTCAAACATTCAAGACAGTCACGTATCTCGCAGCAAGCACCGTTTACAGACTTTCTATGCACACTGGCTCCAGTCCCGGCATACGAGAGCCTTGCCCACTGGGTTCTTGTTAGAACATGATTCTACAGACCACCCCAAACCAGTCTCTTCCTGCCGTTGTTAAGGGGTGGCATCCACACACCAGCTGCAGGGTTCAACTTCTACTCCGTTAGACACAGGAAGCGCAATGATGTGATGAACTGTAATACTGACACCTTCATGAGATCTGTATATCAAAACTGCCCTCTCACATTAGGACTAACACTCTGACCAAAGCTGCGCCAGCCACTGTTACACTGTGACTCCCCTTATGTGAGATCAATCTGAGCACTGACAAAGATGTCCGTGGAGTTGGTTAATTAAGTCAAACACAGTGTGAAGCCTCTAAACAAGGCATTTTCCTGACAACTTAGAAATTACCAGCCATAGTGCTCTTTGGCCTAGAAAGAATGCGGTAAGGCAAGACCTAGTTTTTCCACAACTGTAACAACTCAGTTTCTTTTTCTCATAGCCATCCCACACTGTACAATGCCTTTATGAGAGCACTGGAGAACTCCACTGCCGCAAACAGAGTTTGCAAAGGACAGAGACTGAGTAATCCTAATTTGGACATGACTAGACAAGATGGTGTCACTGTTTCAGCAGTAATATGGTCCTTCAGCAGAGGACCATCAAGATAATTAGCAGAATAGAGAAACGACACACAACGGGAGGGTTAGACTGGATTTGTTCAGCCTTAGAAGGAGACTGTGTAAGGGGAGATGTAACTGCTGCCTACAACAGTTTAACAGGTGGATACAGAAAAGAGGAAGCCAGATCCTTCTCGAAGGTGCATAGTGACAGGACAAGAGGCAACTGTCACAAGGTAAAACATAGAAAATTCTGATTCAGTATCAGAACGTTGTTTTTCACCATGCCATGGTCAAATACTGCAACAGATTGCCCCAGGTGGTTACAGAATCTACCTTTGATGTTCCAAATTTGACTGGTTAAGTACTTGAGCAATCTAATCTGATCTCACCTGCTATGAAGAAAGGCTTTGACTAGATGACCTCCCAGAGGTGCCTTTCAACTTAAATTATTCTATGACACTATAATAATCCCAGGCATCCACCCACTTTGTAGAATAAAATAGTTCCAGCTTAGCTGCTCCTAAAACACGTTTCCATTTTAGCTCCATTACAAAAGTAGTTCAGGAGCCCCCATTAAAAAGTCTGATTAGTCCACAATAAAAAAAACATTATTATTCTTCAAGGTAAAAAACGAACTTCAGTCTTACCAGACACTCAAGCAAAATTCTGGAAAATATATTAAAACAGACTTACTGCAATAAAGGGGGCAGGATATTACAGTCCAATACATAGTCTCTGCACATAGTGCTGTCTCCAGCAATGTTGCCAAGAGCCCATACTGCCTGCAATGAAAACCAGAATAATAATTGCTTTTATTCTCACAATTCAACCAGTTTAGTGTATGTATTAGAGTGGGAGATACTCTGTTCTCACTGTTAGATCCTGGACAATGTATAGAAGGGGAATGCATTCTGTTTGAGTATTACATATATACACCCAAGCTCATTATATGATTCAGGAATATTTACACACATCTAAGAGGAATATCAAAACAGCCAACATGTATGTCTCCAAAGACTTCGCAGGCAGACATAACCTTGCTCTGTCCACAATAGAAGAGATGAGCTTATCTCCTCAGGCTTATTAACATACTAATAATACACTCCTCCTGGTTGAGAGCTGGTTCAAGTCCAGATGTTCATAGCACACGTCAAGCAAGTTTGTATCTACCCAAAAATGTTTGTGAGGAACAGCCTGTATTAGTATTTCCTAAGAAGCCATAAAAGCATGCGTTGTTTACACAGTCATATTAAGAATGCTGACACCAACTAAGATGAAAATGAGAATCTATAAGCAAGATAAACCAATAATCAGAATCAAAGAGTTCAGATGGGCATTGGCATATATTCTTTAAGAGAAAACTATACAAAGACAGAACCAGTGTTGCCTATTAAGACATATGCATGGCAAAATGGAAGGTATTTTCTCCCTTGGACGTCAGTACTACTGTAACCCTTCCTTTTGAGAAGAAAAGATCTAAAATACCAGAAGATAATTAAAGAAGCATGAAATCCATCTTCTGTAATATGGTGAGAATAAAAGATTTGTTTTTGATTTATACGTTTCGTCAAGTGGTATTTTTTGATATCACTGTCCACTAGTATGAGAGCTATAACTAAAAAAAATTACAAGTAGTCTATATGAAGTATAAAAGCCATTTTTATGAATTCCATGTAATTTATAGACAATATTTTGTCACACAAGAAAGTGTATGAAACTCACATTTGCTATTTATTTCAAGTTAGCAGAGGGCTAAGTGTCATATCAAATAGATACGTGTATCTCTTATTTGCTAAGACGCATACAATGTCTACACAACCACTGGAAATACTTCCAATACCGCACATAGAGGACAATAGCAATCCTGTTTATCAGGGACAGCAGCTGAATGTCCTCCCCAAATTTCTCTTCAGTTGAAGACTATGTATTTATTTGCAGCAAAATGTGTTACAGTGCATAACTATTTCTCCAACTGAACGTACATAAGTTCCCCACACAAAATAAACATGTTTTTCTCTCCACATCTCTACTTGAAATAAATTACTCCTCTAAAAAAATTGACAGAATAAGCCAAATTTGTTACCTAAAGGAAATTCTCGGACATTCTGAAATAAACTTATTTATTCATTATCAATATAATGTCAATTCATTTGTTGCATTAGATTTCTACTATAACATGTTTTTAAATGGTGGCAAAAAGATGCTACTTTAAAAAACAGACTCCAACCACTCTAGAGGCCCAAAACCACTAGCAAATCCTGCAAAGTTAATACAGCTAAAACCACATGTATATACAAAATGTAGATACAGATGTCAGCTTGCTAGATACAAAATAAAGAGACTCCTCTGTACCAGTATTACCAATAACACCATAGATAGATCCATCGGAAGTCCCTAAACTGCAAGTTGTTAAGAGACTAGGAGACTATTCTCGGGAAGGATTAGTTTGTTTTGTTCTCCTACTGCTTTCCAGGCTTCTGCTGTGAGCCACAGTCAGAGACAGGGCACCAGGCTATACTGATCTTTGCTGTGAAACAGTACAGCCATCACTACGCAATGTCCCCCCAAAACTGATCTTCATCATGAAAACTTACTTTTCTTTCCAATTCTTATTATTTTACAACTGTTGTGACAACAGTTTGTGTGAAATAAAAGTATAACCTTGGGTCTGGCAGCCTCATGGACTCAAGACAGAGAAGGCAGCTACTGGAAAAATTTAGCTTAAGAGACAGAACGTATGCCACCTCCTGCAAAATGTCATTCATATTAGAACTGTAAGAAGCCATGCTCATTGCTCACTGCAATGCTTGTATTTCTGCAGCAATGAGAAGCCCGAGGAATGAATCAAAGATTTCAGCTGGTTCTAAATAAGCTTGTGGATCTTCTAAAAATGTTTAAGGGTGAAAAAGGTTAGAATTTGCAGTAATTTCCTTTTATTGAACACGTGGGTAACTTGGGACACAATTTCCTTGTCTGGACACCCTTACACACATTAAAACACCCCTGGAAGCCGTATTTCACTTGCCCGTGGACTTTGTTTCTGCCATTATTGCAAAAATCTATTTTTAGGGTTGACAACAGTGATAATCACTTAATCCAAGAATCCATTCTGACCCTGAATGACAGACTGGTTTTGCAACAGCAAATCCCACATCAAAAAGTCTGACCAGAGAAGTCAAATAGCATCTCTACTGCTTTCCCACTCTTGATTTTTTTATGGCAAGAGAAGTCTGGCCAAGTAGTCTGATACCACAGGACCTTGTAAGAGAGGATGTTGCAAGAATTCCTTGTAATGCTAATGACTGATACAATACAAGATGCAAAGAAATTGAAGTATCTTTAGAAAAGTACGCAAGGTTTCATTCAACAAGGTAGATGTCTTTCCTTAAGGAATTACTTCAGCTCTTCAGATAAGTGAGGAACATAAGTCAAGCTCATTTAAACTCTTCTCGTCAGACACTGCTATAAATACAAAGCTCTGTCATGGTTCCTACAGACAACATGTGAACAATGACAAGTGTGTTCAGGGTTTATTTGTCTAAATAATGTTCAATGATTTCCATTGGTTCTTTTGTGCACTCCTCAAGATGCAAATGGCTTGCCTGCCATAACATTTTGGCCTCATTCTACACATCCCAAATGTTTTTATCTTCTTTTCTGGATAGTTGCAGAGGTAAAAGGATATTTAATTCCATTAGATTTCAGAGTTTATTAAATCAAAAATATATTTGACTCTCAAAAAAATTCCATTTCAGTACTTTCCAATACCTACATCCAGACCTGAAGATGAAAAGAACCTGTAATTTGCAGATTTGTAGTCTGACTTGTTAACCAACATCTTGGTTAAAGTTGCGTGTAAACTGAAAATGCAAATGCTGCCTTGTCAGTTGACAGCATCTGTTTATATACACCTGTATAAATTTCCATGTACTGCTAATAGTGGAGTAGGGATTGTTGCACATCTCCAGTTTATTTTACTCATTATTAACCTCCAGTGTTTTTTCCAGCAGTGGACAACTTCAGTAGTCAGTAACAGTAAAGTGCAAGTTTTGTAGAGTACTGTTAAGCCATATGGTGCCTTCTGTGAATAATCCATGTGCTTTCTGGCAACCCTCCACTTTCCCCTGGGTTCTGAAGGCCATTATTTCATTAGGCCTTTGGATATTTAAACCAAGTGCTAAACCAACCACCAACAGTGTGTAGAGTCTGTGCCTCTTGGTGGAGAAGTATTATGAAGTGAGAATCAACACTTTCTCTACTTTTGGCCGCTGACTTGGGAAATGGATGTAATGCTGGGATGAGGACTGTGAAGATTAGCTTTCATACAAGTGTGATTGGGTAAGTGGACACAAGGAAGGATACCAGAAGGCCAAATTCCTAGGAGATGACTTCTAGTATGCCCCAACACAGAAAACACCTTTCTTTCAGTGGCTGGGGTGGTCATAGTTCCTTATTTCTCACATCTCATCCACCCAAACAGAGAAAGCAGCTCATACTCATGCCTCAACTGTTTTTCCTGATTTTGATTACTAAGACCTAGTTAGTAGGACTGCTGAAGTAAAAGCCAAACAGAACTTGGACACCAGACTCACAGGTCACCTTTGCCAAACAAATGATGGTTACCAAAAGGAATAACAATACAACTAGAAATGGAAAAATACTGAGGGAAAAACATGTGGGTTGCTTTAGCTGAAAACACAGATGTTCCCAAAGGAGAACACGGCAGCTGGGGATGCTCCTGCTACCGGCTGTCCAGCAGAGCACAATGACACATATCTGTCACCGTGAGATGATCTCAATCATCTCAGGGAGCGTAATGCCTTGCATGGTTTTTGAAGGAAATTCAATGTTCATCAAGGAAACCCAAGTTGACATCTGGGTTTTCAATACCTCAGCAAGGGCACTCAGGAGAGAACTGCAGCTAAGACACTGCTGAAGCTAGATCAACCTTAAGCACGTCTAAAGGGCTTTGATGGAGTCCTTCACTATAAATAATTTCAGGCTGACATATCTAAATTTCTAGATGTCTTTTGGAAGAAAAAATTGTGGTAAGTGGAAGAAGGCTAGGACATATGCCACTGACTAAATCTAAAAATCAGTACACCAAAACCAGAAATAGGCTGGGAGGGGAGGGAGATGTAGCCAAAGAGTTTTTCATAAATAATGGAGATGTAGCTTCTGTAATAAACTCCGTCTCTTTGATGGGAAAAATGGATGCCAAATGGTTTGACCACTGATCACAGGGAATAGCTGAGAAAGACTGATATACAATGCAAACAATGAAAGAGTTAAAGGATGGTAGGGTAATTAAATGTCAGCATGCTTTGCTTAATGTGAAACAGATCTTGTAAAAAGACACAAGATATAATTTCATTAAAATACATGTTGTTAAATAAACATAGTTATAAAGATTCCCTCACATTGACTTCTATAAAACCGCTGATTTAGAATCACACCAGACTCAGAAACTAGCATATGCAAAAGAAACAGTGCAACACGTTAGATTAAAATTGGCTTATAAATATGAAAAAACTGCTGAAAAAAATCACGATCAGATAGGGTAAACTGGTATCTGTTCCTGAGCCACTGCTAAGGAAAGTCTGAAATAAAAGATAAATTCAATGGTGTAAGTCTGTAAGACTTACTCTAAGACAAAAACAGTGGATAATGATTAGCCAGTAAGCCAAATTAAAGTAATATTAAATACGAATTGTTTTTTAATTTATGCTATGAAACATATACAAAATTATATTACCACTTACATTTCCTGCTACAGAATTACTATCCCACTTAGCATAATAAATGGCTTACTAAACACAGCCTTCAGTATTTCTTTTTCTCTTCATCCTTTACTATATGGTCGTAGGGCTAGGTTTTGGCCTATCTGCCCTGAACATGTAGTTATATTTTCTGTATTTTCCTGTATTTTTGTAATTTGTTGCAAAGGTAGCAGGAGTTCTTGCAAATAATAATCTTCACAGTACTACTGAGAGAGAAAATAAGAATCATCATTTTACAGGGGAGAAAATTACGGTCAAATATCTTCCAGCTTCAGAAATCCAGCCTGAGAAGCCCAGATCTGCCCAAAACACAGACCTAACTACAAAAGTCACTTGCAAAAGTGCTGAGTTGTCCTCAATTACAAAACAAAATGCAAATATTTTGCATTGAGCATTCAAAAAACACAGAACTAGTATCTACTTACTGAAAACTGATATAAGCAAACTGTCCAGCATCGGACACTAAGCAGTAGATACATTTATCTCAGAAAGCTGCAATTGCCTTAATCGTAAGAATCTCTTCCCTTTTCTCTCCTTCATTCACTACGTGTTCCAACTTTAACAAACAGGGCCACAGTGTGACAAATAAAAGCCTCCTTTACTACCCGCTGATCTGTTACCAGGGCAACAATCTGTACATACACTAAATGAGACCAGAGTCATCTGGAAAAATACTATGCAATTGTGTACTAATGCCATCCTGTAATGCAGAAGTACAATAGCTAACATTTAAGTGCCTAATGCTTTTAATTTTTGTTTTAGTAGATATTATGGTGAAGTGTTTGGGTTTTTTAAAAGCTGTCAGAAAAAACAATTTATTTCATGTTGGCCTGCCTTAAACCCAAAATCAGCTGTGAGCAGGGCTGCAATCTCTAGACCTGCAAGAAACCCACCATCAAAAGGTGTAGGTAACACTTCGCAGTGGCACATTTTCCTTCTTTAGCATAGCTTACTACAGAGCAATTCATAACTGGTATTTGAAGACTTACTGGTAATAGAGAGATCATGGATTCAGCACCTGAATTACATAGAAAAATATTTTCCAGTAGTTATAACCCACTCTGCCGGCCTGCAATCTGAACTCTAACATGTCAGCAGTTTATTAGGAGGCAGAGGGGGATGGAGACAGATAAACTACTTAACTGTGGCCCCTAAGCTCTTCTGTTAATTCACATGTCTTAAGGCTGAAGGCTGCACAACTCATTCTAAACAGGTTCGCTCTTCCCACCTGCTCTCTGAACATCAGCAGGGATGATAACAACCACCTAATAAAAAAACCAAGTTAGCTCTTGCACAGAAGATCGTTAGGACCAGAAAAATGGAGTAGCCCTTACCAGACTCAAAGCACCAATCATACTGCAGAAACAGCACTGTTATAAGTGATGGCTGAATTTGGAAAGTAATGCTAGCATTTTCAAATTCGTTTTACCCCAGAAAAAACAAACTCTAAAAAGCATCATATAGCTAAGTCTGGATGGATTTTCACGTGGGCAGAACATAGCATTTATGTGCCATTTTGGCAATCTCCCTATCACATTTCTAGTTTCTACAACAACAAAGACTCATTTCCTCAAAGAAAGCTAAAAAAAATGGACAAAAAAAATACTTATTTCCTTTAATATAATTTTCTCAAGCACCTGAATTCAATTTCTCTTAAAAAACCTTTTCCAGAATAATTCAGCCTGGGACAGACCATTGAAAATGGAAAGTTGCAGAGTAGAAGAACTAGAAAGCTATAAGCAACTGTGAAAACAAAACAAAAAAAATCTGTCTTGTGGCAAATGTTAGGCACCTTTAAGTACAGGTGGTACATTTTGAGCCAGCTATAAGAGAGAAAGGCAAGTTACACAAAGCAATCCAATGCTCATGAGTTGGGACTCCTCCAATCATGCATCTCAATACAGCCAAACGCAAGGTCAGACATCTAGGAACAGAGAAGAGAGATCACTTACAGGATGGAGAACTGAACCCTGGTAGTCAGTGATTCTGAAAAGAACAACGGATCATATTGGATAATCAGCTTAACCTGAGCTCACAGCGAGCTTCTGTGGCAGAGTCCACAAAGACATCTTGGATATTTACACACCAAAGTACCAAGTAGAAGTGAAATTGAGGTACTATCTCTGCAAACAGCATTGCTGGAAGAGTGCTACTGGAATTGTCCAGTGCCTGTAATTTCACCACCGCAAAAAGATATTGAAACAAAGAAACATTCAGAAAAGGGTCACCAAAAAACAAACCAACCACCACAGAAATACCCTCACAGTGAGAATTCAGAGCTTAATTTCATTTACTCAAGAAAAGCTTAAGCTATGGCCTGTAAGTAGCTATAAGAAAAAACAGAGAGCTTACTAATTGAGTAGACAATGAAACAAAAGCAAATACCTGGACCCAAAGCTAGTCAAATTTGTACAGTAAAGGTACATACTTTCAAGCTAGGATTGAGATTAACTGAAACTCTATTTGTTAACATGATTAATATTTCATCACCCTAAGTCTTCAAAGCAAGATTATATGTCTGAAATACATTCTCGTTCAAACACAAGTTATGGACCTCATGCGGAAATTACTGAGTCAAATGTTTGGTCTGTGCTTTACACGGATCCCTTCGGGCCTTAAAGAATATTCATCTACTCTGTAAGGAACGTAGAGAACAAACCATGATTTCCACTCATGCTTTATCTTCAGGAGAAACAAGCATGAACTTTCCATCTCTAAAGCAATTTTTTTAAACAAGGCTTCTTGAATTCCTCAATACACAGAAAAATATTAACCCATTAGAGATCAAAATGCATTACCCCATTGGCTGTGGTTAAATAAATCATTTCCAAAAAAAGAAAAATACAATACTTGCTTAGATATCTTAACACATAGTAGGTAGAAAGGAACTGTTGTGCAAAACTGCCAAACACTACGTTTCCTCTAAAGGCTTTCTTACAGGATAGCCTTGCTCCTTTCTGGGGAAGGGGAGGGAAAAAAAAAACAACCAACCAACCAACACAAACAAAACCCAACCCCACAAACCACCACACATACACACAAAAATCCCAACGCCGTTCTTAATCTTTACCTGTTCCTGTACATCTTCAAACTCTGAACTAAGCAGCTCTATGAAGATGGGGACGGCTCCTGCTTGGATCACTATTCGAGTCTGAAGGGAATTTCCCGAGGCAATATTTGTCAGCACCCATGCAGCTTCAAACTGGAAAACGAAATACAAAAAAAGTTTACTAGAAGCCTTCTGTGCCACACCAAAAATGAAGACTAAATGTCTTTAAAAGACAGAAAGAATTGGCGTAGGGAAAGCATGAGATATTACTAATTAACACAGACAATTCGCAAAGTAAGAAACAAAGAGTTAAGAGTTATTCATATCACTTGAAATCAAAATTTGCAGAAGTTCCTTATGAGAACAAGATCAGGTTTGCTGTGGCTTTTCAAATACTATTTTTTGCTATGCAATTGTATCACCTTTGGTCTGTTCTACTGCCTTTCCTTACTGGCTAAGAACCAATACACAAAAAATGCGTCTTCCCACAAGACATCTGATACCTGCATTCACTGAATCAGCAATGATATTCCTCAAGATGCACGAAGAGAGACAATATCAACATTATTTGACAAAACTTGATGGATAAAAAGCAAATAAAAGCCATTAAAAAAACCAAACAGGAAAGGAGATTAAAAAAAAAAACCCAAACCAAAAACAACTTTGAAACAGGAAAGGAGATTAAAAAAAAACCCAAACCAAAAACAACTTTGTGATCACAATCTGGTAGAACTCTGCAACTATGGCAAAGTACTCCTCTCCAACTCTGGTGATCAGTATTGCTGCCAAGAGTTATTAGCGTATGATGTTTTTATTCAAGACTTGAAGCAAAACCTGAGATCCTGAATTAACACTTCGCATCTTTTGTTTTAACTGGTTTTGTAATTTATTTTTATTTTAATCTCAACTTGCAAAAGTATTAACTTTTTAAGTTGAAATGCAAATTTTAACACTACTGATACAGACCTCAGAAGATATAGATTCTAGAAATCTAGATTTTGGTAGATTTCTGCATGTTTTTCAGTCCAAAAATTATTACACTACACTAGCAAATTTAAATCCTATCAGATACATTCAGAATCCAGAGAACAAAGAGACTGCCAAAAGTTGAATGAAAAGGCAAAATCCAACGAACAACAAAAATGGGAAGTTGTATGCTATAAATGACCGATTTTGACATTACTAATGAATTTTATTAAACTGATGTTGATCCAGCAGTATTCCAGTGAAAATCCTGACATACTTTAAAGACTAGCTATCTCTGAAGACCAGCAAGGACTTATATTTAGGATTTAATCATAAAAGCAACTCCTGCTAAGGAGACGTACAGAATCCTGAAATTTTAGGATTTTCATAAAAGCAACTCCTGCTAAGGAGACGTACAGAATCCTGAAATGGGCCTGAAATAAGAATTCAACAATTAAGCCTAGGCATGTAAGGCTTTTAATTTTTAAGTGTTATTAATTATTAAAGACTTCAGTTTTAGAAATACAATTAACCCTGCCCTCCTGACCAACTAAAGGAGAAATTATCTTCTGGTAAGATGTGATCAGAATAAGCGATTCCAAAATACATCACTGTAATACACAAAGAGTATGGGCTGCAATAAAGCAGAAACACACAATGTCAAAACTGCAAGACTCATTGTTAATGAACTAGAAGCAAAACGTTCAGGCCAGAGCTTAAGGCCAACATAAAAAGCACTTGCTTTCCTGTAATTTTACTTTCTCTGAAGTGAGTATCCAGTGTTTTGTGATACAGTATAACAGGATTATTAGTCATCTTTCAGTCACAGAGGTTTCTTACTCATATTTTAGAACTTGCCCTTTGGCTTCCTAATGGATGCCACCAGGTTGAACTATTCACAACTCACACTCATACTCTCTCCAGTCACATACCCATAATGGAGAAGAAACACCATGTATAAACAGATTAATCAAATTTAAGACCAAATAGCAGGTACTTCTTGCTCAAATCTGTTCTTCAAATATTTCTAAAATAAGTTTTGACTATGAGCTAATCATAAGATCTCCCCATCTTTTGTGGAACGAAGTTCTGTTAAACTGAGCTCTTCCCAACATCTAACTAGAATCAAGGGTGAATTAGATGATGCCCTTGTGTGAGCACCACTTAACATTTCAGATGATATAAGTTACAGAAAGGTTAGCTGAGTGACAGTTTCTCTCCTCCCACTGTGGACACCTGATGCTCCAGGATGTATAAACTAAGGAACAGCCACATGCAAATGGCAAAGGATAGAAAACCAAAACACTTTATGATAAAGTTAATTAACAGGAAGAAAACCTCATTCAAGGGATGATCTTGGTATCTGTGTGGTACTGGTTTGGGTTTGGTTTTTTTTTTTAAGATTTCTCTCTCCATCACAAAAAGATTTTGCACATGAGACAAATTTACTTGTTCACATATGGTTTAAGTGATCATGGAGAAGAGGGGAGCTTTTTTACGTCTTGAAATTGCCTGAGTAAAAAACTGGACAGAGGAATTCCAGACAAATTAGGCCTTCCTACCACTGATACCAGAAGCCCAGTTTTTACCGGATATTCTATTGACAACACAGAAGAAAAATGGAGCATAAAGTCACATAAAGTTCCCAGTCCATCAACATGGAAGAGTTTCCATATTCAATCCACCATACAAGTACCTATAGTATCTGAGCAAAAAAATACTTCAGTGTTTCCAGAATGAGTTGAAAATCCTTTCCTTCTACAGCTAGGCTAGAGAATGCCTAGAACGGCAAGCCCAAAAATCTATGTCTGTGCCAAGCAACACTTTTGGAAACACTAACAGAGTAAAAACAAATATTAAAAAGTGAAGTCAAGAGGAACTTCCTAACTGATCACAGCAAAATGTTCTACCTGCAGACCCTGAACTGCCAAGCAGGCAGACAGATTTGGCAAGATGAAGGAAAATTAACCAGTTGGAATGGAATATCAAGAGCAATGTACTCGGGTTTATATTTTCAATGTTTTGTTACAAACTCTTTAGGAGAAGCTTCGAATTTTCAACTTTGACTGATTTTTGCTCTTTCCGTGTAAAAAAATCAATACAATACATGCTACCCCAGTAAGGCCATGAGAATTTGACTCAGTCTACGATTGCTTTTGAAGTTTTTTTTAAACTGAAGATGTATCTGCATTTGATGAAGTATCCTCTACCCTTATCTTCTCTTCCTATTCAAATATGTCCTTCAAATATTAGGAGATGGTTTCCCTTTATCTGCCTGTCTTAGGCTTCCATGCTAGAGCCCTATGAGTAATAGGAGGCATTCCGTTTTTTTTATATCAGATCACTTACAAACTTTCCACTGGAGTTGCAAACCAATAAACTGGCTTAAATCCGATACATACACTTAGTTACTGTCCACAGACCCCTCAAAGGTAGCTAACAGACCTTTGGAATTTTGTGGATATCAATTTGAAAAGTAATTCCTTTAAATGATACCTGTTCTCTAATGTGTAAGAAAAAATGTATCAATTTTTTGCACATCTCCACTCACCAAAATTTGGATTGGCATTAACATGGCATTAACAAATTTCTTGTCCTATGCATTTTGAAAGAACATTGATTCTAACCTATATATTGTATTTAATGGTTACCTGTTAACATTTTTTTCTTTTACTAGGTGATTCGTTTCTTTCATTTTCTACTAGCCCAGAAGAAAGAACTCTGGCCAGAAAAAAGGACAGCTGGAAATGAGACAAAGCTCCAAGAAGCAAGTCCAAGACAAATTAACCATCATTGTAGCAGACACAATTTAGTTTTCAAAACCAAAGCAAGTAAGTTTCAAGGTTTCTATGTTTATCATTATGGATTGCAATAATAATTATAAACTTTAATTTAATCAAAAATTTAAGTAATAATTCTGAAGATTATAAACTGTCCTCAATTAATACAAAAAAAGACAAACACTAAAGTTTAGTTTAATAGCTTTTCATCTGTTGAGGTCCAAATTTCAAACTCTGTTTTTGTTACATGACAAAGTGTGAAGACCCCATCCTAGCAATCACATAACGCAACTCAGACCTCTCTCTCTCTCA